TCTATCCATCTTCAGGCAGGTCCGCCCACATGCAGATACGCCCACTTATGGAGTCACCACAACATGAGGAACTGTATGAAAGGGTCGTGGCATTAGTAAGGTTGAGAACCGCTGCTCGAACACATGGGTTGCCATGAGTTGAAATTAACTCAACAGAAACTTATGAACAGTAATAAGGTAAGAAACTTTTGAAGGTGATGGAGGTTCACTTTCTTGATTGTGATGATAACGTCATGATTACATACATATCTACTGTGCTCTTTAAATGTGCAGTTTTTGTTTAACGCTTATGTTCTCTTTGTCCATAGTGTGTCTTAGCATGATTTAGTAAAGAGTAAAGGATGAACACTCAACAATGGCATTCAACAATAAAGACAGTGTGGAATACTTACTTGAGAAAATCTGTCTCTCTCTGAATTTTCATAATCTCCGTGCTTGTCAAACTCTTTTGGCCAGTTATGTGTGCAAATTTAGAGAACTGAAATTAAGAATATATATACATATATATAAAGACAAATTAATACAAGTTAATAGACTATCATGCAGTAAAATTCCACTAAAATTAATTGTAATGTTTTCTCTTATCATTTCTGGCATCCACCTTTTAGAAACCATGATGGGGAAGGGAATAAAGGATTATTGCCCCAAAGGTCAACATTTTAAAAATTACTAATCTAAAAATTAGTAATATAATTACTAGATATTTCATTAAATAATTCTCTGGGTAGCACAAATGGTTAAATCTTTGACTACTATCTGAAAGATAAGTGGTTCAAATCCATACAGAGACACCTCCCATCTGCTTCTGAAAGATCTGTCTGAAAAACCCTATGAAGTAGTTCTACTCTGCACAAATGGAATAACTATGATTTAGGATTAAGCTTTCAAATTGGATTGAAGCCCTGGTCAGAATCAACTTGATGACAACTTACAACATTTCATTAAGGAAGAGTTTACAATAGGACTTACAACCAGAAGTACCAGGTGTCAGAATCAAAAACCTAAGCTAAAACCTAAGTTAGCATTCATTTTTCTCCAAGATTCTATCCCGGGGAAACTCCAAAGAATTGCTCACCCATAAGAAAATATGCAGCAATTGACTGCTGATGCCTAGACATATTTAACTCACTTTCATACACTTTTATTTGAGCCATTACTATGTACCAGGCAATGCCCTTGATGCAGGGGGTGGGGGGTGGGGGATAAGTATTGCATGATTTCTGCCCTTAAGGCACCGAACTCTTGCACCTACAAATAACTGAAATGCAACTGAATAAATATTAAAGCAAAGTTGTGTCAAGTCCCTTGAAAAGGAATAATGGCAATCGCTTGTTCAAGGTAGAAGGGCTTCCCAAGAGATGACATCTGTGTTAGACTTTGCAGAGGACAGAGAAGCTTTCCAGGGACAAAAAAAATAAAGGGAATTCCAAACAGAGGAAGCCCACGTGCGAAGGCACAATGGCAGAGCAGTGAGTGGTGTATCTTGGGATTCGAGAGTGGTTTGAGGTGATCGAGATGTCTACTCCCAGGAAAATAGGGTGAAAAGAGAAGGGAAGGAGAAAGAAGGTGAAAGGGAGATGCTCAAACTTATGGAAGGGAAAACATAATTAGCGTTGTGTAATCAAAACAATTCACAATGACTCTACGGACCCAAACCAAACCCACTGTCCTCTAGTCAATTCCAACGCACAGCAATCCTGTATAGGGCTTCCAAGAGGGTAAACCTCTTCAGGAAGAAAAAGCCTCGTCTTCCAGGGAGCAGCTGGTGGGTTCGGGTTAGCCGTCTGACATTTACACAACAGCACTACCTCTGCGGTGGATCATATTCGTCTCAAAGTTATCATTTCAAACACACGGAGAAGTTGTAAGAATAGTACAAAAACTTCTGTACGTCTCACTTGGCCAACTGTTTACATGAACATTTTGCCCCGTTGGCTTTATCAATCTAAATCCCCATGAATCATGTGCGAGTGGGTGGCAGTCACAATGTCTCTTTACCCTTAACAGAGATACAACGATATTCTCTTACACAATAGTACAATTATCCCTGTCATGCAATATCACTGCCCCAATGCTGGTACCTAATCTATACGCCTTTTTCAAATTTTGTCAGTTGCACGGAAAGTGTTTTTTAAAGCTACATACAAGATCGAGTCTAGCACCACAGTTTGCATTTGGTTGCCATGTCTCTTTTATGTCATTACTCTGGGATAACCCCCAAGTCATTTTTATCTTTGATGGCCTTGGCAGGCCAGTTATTTCATAGGACCTCTCTGTTCACCACCTTTACCCCCACCCTCACAATGTCTACAATCTTATGGAAATAGGTTGCTGGGCCTTTTTTCCACAGCACTGCCATGTGGATTTGAAGTGCTCACCTTTAAATTAGTTGTCCAATACATGCCATTTAACTGCCCAGAGACCTCCTTTGATTTGGTTGTGATACCTTCTAGTTACTGGATTCAGTTATGCATTTTGGCATGAAAAGCATAGTTGTCTTGTAGCCAACTCACTGTATCATATTGATACATGTACATGTTCCTATGTTGTGGACCCAATTACACCCATTTAAATTATTTCACTCCTACTGACAGCAGATTCACATGGGCAATCTCTTGTTGAATGTGTACATAGTATACTTTGAGGACTCAGGATTATCTTTAGATATTCAGTCAAGATGCCAGCAAATACTGAAGATTGGTGTCAAAACATCACATGATGTAAAATGAGTCACTAAGGAATCCCTTAGTCTTAACACTTTAAACAATTATGGTATAATTGTTTTTGAGAAATGTATCGATAACCATGGAACAAATCCAGTTGAGGTTGCTGAGAATCCTTAAACTCTTTGGCCAAAGGGTCCCTGGACAACAGAGGCTCTGGATATTTTACTAGCTCAGAAAGGTGGAGTCTGTGAAGTAGTCAACACTTCTTGCTGCACATAGATAAATGATAGAGTGGAGATAGAACAGGGTATTCACAGAATTAGACAACAGTTTGCATAGCTACATTCTATTAAGTGCCATCAGACTTACTTGAATGGCTACCATCAGGAACGAACTAGGTCAGCTTTACAAGAGATAACAATAATTTAAATCTACATTATGCTCAGAGTATGCATAATTAAACTTATCTTCACTGTTGCCTCACATGCCATAGAAGAACAAGAATGACATGGACCAAGGTGAGGGACATAGGCATTGATTAGCACTTTGAGGTACTTGATGGAGACCCAGTTCACATCTGAGTCCTGCCGAAGAACCAGATAGCATCTGCTGGAAAACCAGCACCATGAGTTGGAAGAGCCTGCCATGGTCACGATCCAGGGACCCAGCTAAGCATAAATGTGCTATCCTCAATCTCTAAATCAAGAGAAGGAAATGCAATAGTGCCAGAAACCAAAAGGTATCTGTTCTGCAGAAACCTATGCCCTGCACACAGAGCCTTGGTCCCATCCTGATTCATTCAAAAAGCCACCTTGAGTACTCTACATACGTATTTCTAACCACCACAAAGGTGATAAGGACAGATCTTGGAAAAGCAGGGAGAAGTATTATGCTTACAGAAAAATATAGGGGATATGTCAACTAATTAAGATGGGCATACACAAAAAAAATTAAAAATAAAAAAAAGATGGGCATACACACACACAAGAATTAGGAAGATTGGGCTAAAAGTGTCCTTTACAAAACTGGGATATGTAGAAAGGAAAAACAATTCTCTTTTATGTCCTTTCATTCTGATCTGTTAGATCAACCAACCCCTTCCCCAACTGTTATTACCATAAAACTTACTTTAAGGAATTTTGGGAGGAAGGAAATATTTAGTGATATGTGTTGTTAATTTCATATTTTTCTTTTCTTTTTTTGTTAAATCTGTCTCATATTTTTCTTGGCCAGAAGTAACATTGATGAAAAGAGGGGTGGGAAATTGGCTCATTATTATGACTAAGAATTTCCCCTAGAACAAACTTCAGTGTAACTGTTGCAAGATTTTCTGAAAATAACCGGTCTAATCAATCCTGAGGAAACCTAAAACTTAAAAAAGAACCTATTTCCTGAACCCCACAATTTTATACTCTATGTCCCTGAACGTAAGACCACAGATCACAAATATGCCAATCCCTGTGAACAACTTACAGCATCGGGTCAAGCATCTCTTCATTTGGAAGAGCTTGTTCCCCTTAGATTTCTCTAAGGGGTGATGTTCTACCCCATATAAGCAGAAAGTAGCTACAGAAAGAGAGATTACCACCCCTGATTCCATCAAAAATTATATGTATGAAATCTCTCAGTGGGGAATGAAAGAAGTGAGAGTGATTCCCTTGTGGGATGAAAGCTCGGAGAAGCCCCCAGAATAACACTTTCTCTCTCTTAATGACAGCTTTAAACTACTTTATACAGATATTGCTTCGGAGACCAAGAACTGGTGCCATCTGTGGACTACATCTCACTCTCAGGAGCATAGTCCCCAGAATCCCCTGTACCATGCATCGTCTAGTATGGAGTACAGCATGCTTACACTGAGGTTTCCTGAATCTCATATGCCCCAAAGGAAACCTTTAAAAAGACTCAGCAAAGAAGCCATGTATGCTGGCTTATGGTTTCTCCCTGCTAGGAGCTTCTAATAAAATTCTCCAGCATTGCAGCCAAGCAAAAAAGTTTATCTACATGTCTATTATCTGCCTCCCCCAAAGCCCAATAAAAATGTAAGCTCCGTGACTATAAAACCTTCCGTACCCAACATAATCTCCCCAAGGACTAGAACACTCTCTGCCACACAGTGAATGGCTTGGAGTCATTTCATTCATAAAGTATTTTATTCATGGGAAACATTAAAAATATGAAAAGTGATTCTACTTAGAATTTACCTGAGACTGGTGGGTAGGTGGTCTAGGACCCAATTCTGATTCTTCATGGAAGGCTAGGATTTCCAGTGGACTCTCAGAGAAGCCAAGATCTTTCGAACTTTTAGGATCAGTTCTTTCACCTATTTTAAGGCCCAAAATTAGATTTAAAATATTTTTACATGCAAAAAACAAAAAAACATATCATTGTGAATGAGGGAGAATGCAAAGTGGAAACCCAAAGCCCGTCTGTAGGCAACTGGACATCCCCTTACAGAAGGGTTGCGGGGAGGAGACGAGCCTGTCAGGGTGCAGTGTAGCACTGATAAAACATACAAATTTCCTCTAGTTCTTTAACACTTCCACCACCACCCCCATTATCACGATCCCAATTCTACCTTACAAACCGTCTAGACCAGAGGATGTACACTGTTACAGATAAGGGCTGGAAATACAGGGAATCCAGGACAGATAAACCCCTCAGAACCAATTATGAGAGTAGCGATACCAGGAGGGTAAGGGAAAGGTGTGGGGAGAAAAAGGGAACCGATCACTATGATCTACATATAACCCCCTCCCTGGGGGACAGACAACAGAAAAGTGGGTCAAGGGAGACACTGGTCAGTGTAAGACATGAAAAAATATATATATATAAATTATCAAGGGTTTGTGAGGGAGGGAGGATAAGGGAGGAAGGGGGTAAAAATGAGGAGCTGATACCAAGGGCTCAAGTAAAAAGCCAATGTTTTGAGAATGATGATGGCAACAAATGTGTTTGACACAATGGATATATGTATGGATTGTGATAAGAGTTGTACGAGCTCCCAATAAATGATATTTTTTAAAAGACATAAAAAATATTTTTACGTGAATATATATATGTTTTCATTTAAGTATGTGCTCATAGTTGGGAACATTTTAATAAGGGACTACTGTTGGATAGTTTTTAAATGTCACAATTACCCTTTTCTTGAATTACTAATGTTCTCTAACCAAGAACTCTTGTTATCTAAAAATCACAGATTATCAAAGAAAACCAACCTTGCTGTTTGAAATACTATCAATAAGAAACCTCCTACTCTTGCCTGGAAGATCTAATTCACTGACACAGAGAAGTGGCCTCAACTTCCAAATCTGGTGCAAAACTTCAGGTAAGAAATTTCTAAATGCAACATTCCACACATAAAATTAATAGTTTCCAAGAGAGCAGATCCCTGGGTTCCCTTTGCAGAGTATCACACAGAGCCCTGGTTTTCTTTGAAACCATTAAAACTCTGCTTTCATTTAAATTTCACCCAAACTCTACTCTTCCCTGAAATCAATTTGTTTATTTGAAGAGATGCCCTAGGGTTCCTATGATGTATGGTCTCCCTTACGGTACTGCTTGATCTTAAGCTGTTGGACATAGAATAGCACTGAAATTCAAATTATAGCTTACTTTATTCTAGTGTTTCTTACTACAGCATTTCCTCTGACGAGAAAATAAGTAGTGAATCTGTTTGGTGGGTTTAGAGTATTCAACCTTTTATTCGTTCTGTGATTTCATACCTGGAAATTTTCTAAAGTTAATATTCCAATTAGGTTTATGTCTAGCATGCTTACCTTTCTTTTTTAGTTTTGATCCAACAAGCCCATTTTTCAACCCCTAGAAATAAAGAGATTGCATATCAGTTACTTGATTATGCCATTAGAGAATGTGAAAATTAAAGGTTATAAAGTAGGAACAATGCCATACCATTGAAGGGGTTTGCAGTTTTCATAAGTGGCCTTTGCTTAACTGTATTCTAGAAATACAGCTCCCTATCTGGTCTACTTGGACTGGCAGTATGACTAGTTGGTCAATCCCAGCTGGTCAAATAGCCAAGGTAAGAGCAAGCAGGTGGTAGAATTTATAGGCAGAATGTTGCACTCACAAGAGTGATTAATAACATAGATGCCAACAAACCCAGGGGACAACGAAAGGATGGAGTTAAATCAAGATAAGGCACTACTACGCACATAGTCCTTACTCTTCTGTATGAAGTTCCTTCTCAGGAATTTAGTCTCGTGTACAAGTTTGAGCACCTGCTGACACATGTCAGCTCAGGGTCTGCTGACTTTCCACCCCCCAGATTTCTGCCTTGATCATTCTTGAGCTTGCACCTACAGGTTTTGTCCGACAGCCTCTTTTCTGGCCTCTGGGATATTCTTGGGCTTAAGTAGTTCCTGGACAAATTTCTTTTGTTTTCAACAAGGTTTCCATTACTTGGACCTCTTGTTCACTTCCCTTACCATGGGCTAGGCAATCATCTGGTCCAATTCTTTGGATCTATCTCACTCATGCCCACAATCCAAGAACTGGTTTCAAGCATCCTCCTTAGAGAAGTTTGATTCAGAAGTGAATACTTCACCAGGGGTTTCTACTAATTTTGGTGTATTGATTCAAAACATACACATTCAAATACAGCCTCCCTTGATAGACCGTCTCAAATACAGGCAATGAATATGGCAGACATTCTCTCTGCCACTTGGGAACTTGCAATGCATGGGAAAGACAGACACAGAATGAAGTAATCTAATATTCAAAGCATTTTATAAAGGACAAACACCATATATACTGGTGTATAAGCCGAGTTTGTTTTTTTAAAATCATTGTATTAGTGGCTCATACAACTCTTATCACAATCCATATATACATCAATTATGTAAAGCACATTTGTACATTCATTGCCCTCATCATTCTCAAAACATTTGCTCGCCACTTAAGTCCCTGGCATCAGCTCATTTGTCCCCTCCCTCCCCGCTCCACCCTCTCTCATGAACCCTTGATAATTTATAAATTATTTTGTCATATCTTACACTGTCCGACGTCTCCCTTCAACCACTTTTCTGTTGCCTGTCCCCCAGGGAGGAGGTTATATGTAGATCCTTGTAATCGATTCCCCCTTTCTACCTCACCCTCCCTCCACCCTCCCGGTATCACCACTCTCACCACTGGTCCTGAAGGGATCATCCGCCCTGGATTCCCTATGTTTCCAGTTGCTATCTGTACCAGTGTACATCCTTCTGGTCTAGCCAGATTTGTAAGGTAGAATTGGGATCATGATAGTGGGGGCGTGGTGGGGCAGGAAGCATTTAGGAACTAGAGGAAAGTTGTATGTTTCATCATTGCTACACTATAAGCTGAGTTTTTCGGCACATTTTTAATGCAGTTTTTGTGGTAAAATTAGGTGCCTCGACTGATATTCGGGTCGGCTTATACTCAAGTACATACGGTACCTCAGTGTTAGAGGAACAGAGATAAGATGTAGAACAAACAATTTAGTTGTCCTGGAGTATATGTCAGGGAGTCACAGGTAAAGTAGAAAATGCCAACTGAGGATAGAAATGTATTACTTGGAGTGCCAGGCTGAAGATTTCTGCATTCTTCGTTACATAAAGGGTAATCAGTGAAGACATTGGAGCAAGAGCGTAATGCTAGGAAGGAATTAACTTTTGCAGGGTGAAGGAGGGACTGAGCAAGTTGGGAATCAGAGAAGACAATTTGCAATGGATGAGACTGACTTCAAGTGTGAACCCCTGGTTGGGAGCTGCAGTGGTAAAATGAAAAGGAAGAAGTGACCACTGAGGGAGCAGGAATTAACAAGGCAGTGCTTTCTGAATGTTACAGTTTTATTACTTGCCTGCTTTGAAAAACTTTTGAGAACATTTTCAGCAGCATCTTCAGAGGAGATAGTATTTGGTTCTTCATAGTCTACCTGAAACACCTTCGTTACAATACCACTCTGTCTACAGTCTCTGAAAATCATTTAAAAAGACACAAAAAAAGCCTGTTAGAATCAAAGAGAAAAAAGAGAATCACAGAGAAGGTGGCTAGCAATTAAGATGACTCTCTTAAAGTCTGTTGGTTTAGCCACTAAACTTCTTGTTGCTGCTGTTATGTGCTATCAAGTTGGTCCGGACCATTAATTACCCCCGTGCATAACAGAAAGAAACACTGCATGGTCATGTCAATCCATTTCATTGAGGGTCTTCTTTTTGGCTGCCCCTCCCCTTCTCTAGGGACTGGTCTCTAGGGACAATATGTCCAAAGACTAAGTCTCGCCATCCTTGCATCTAAGAAGCATTCTGGCCATACTTCATCCGAGACAGATCAGTTAGGTTGCTTAGCAGTCCATGGTACTTTCAATACTCTTCTCCAGTACCATAGTTCAAATGCACCGATTCTTCTTCAGTCTTCCTTTATTTTACGTCCAAGTTTCACATGCATAAGAGGCAATGGAAAATACCATGGCTTGGGTCAGGTACACCTTAGTCTTCAAAGTAACATCCTTGCTTTTTAATACTCTAAGAGTTCTTGTGCAGAAAATTTACCCAATGCAATGTGTCTTTTGATCTCTTGGCTGTTGCTTCCACGAGCATTGATTGTGGATCCAAGCAAGATGAAATCCTTCACAACGTCAATCTTTACTCCATTTAATCCTGATGTTACATATTATTACAGTTGTGAGAATTTTGGTCTTCTTTACATTGAGTTGTAATTCATAGTGAAGGCTGATGTATTAGGCTGGGCTGATTAGAAAAACAAATCCAGAAACACTCATATATGTATAAGCAAGCGCTTTATATCAAGAAGTAATTATATAAGAAAACATCCTGGCCCAGTCCAACCAAGTCCCTAAGTCTGATACTAGTCCATAAGTCCTCTTCAGACTCATGCAGCCACAGGCAATGATGCAAAATGCCGGAAGATGAAGGCTGGTGGGTGCAAAGTGGAGTGGATCCAAGGTCGGAATCAAGGCAGGCTTCCGATAGCTCTCAGGGTCAGCAAGCAGGAAGGGAAAAGCAGAGAGAGAGTCCTAGGGTCCTCCTTATAAGAAGGTGCGGTAGTCCTGGTTGACTAGAGAAACTAATCCAGAGGTAAAAGAGAACTTTATATCAAAGAGTAATAGTATATTAAGAAAACATCCCAGCCCAGTCTAGATCAAGTCCTTAAATCTGATATTAGCTCATATGTTCAATACCAGTCTATAAATTCCTCTTCAGACTCATGCAATACATGCAGTGACGCTGAATGCTGGATGATCACAGTCCAGTGGGTGGAAAGTCTTGTGGATGTAGTAGCAGTGGAAGCATCTCAGCACTGACATGAGTCTCCACGTGGTTCCTCCAGCTCCAGGGCTCTGGCTCCATCAGCACAGCTCCATGTGGCTTGTCAACAGGAATGTCTTGCAGCGAAAGTGTGTGTCCTACCTCCAGGAAGGAAGATAGGAGTTCTCAGAATCCCCTAGAGAAGGCCATGCCCTCACAGAGGCCTCACTGGCTATGACCTGATTGACAGACTAGACTCAACCCCTTCATTAAAGTTGACAGGGGATTATGTAATTGTCACAGAAGGCCACACTCCCAAGGAGACAGCAACAGGATTTAACAACCTGCAATATGCAGACGCTACAACCTTGCTTGCTGAAAGTGAGGAGGACTTGAAGCACTTGCTGCTGAAGATCAAGAATTGCAGTCTTAAATGTGGATTACAAATCATTGTAGAGAAGACCAAAATCCTCACAATTGGAACAAAGGTAATATTATGATAAATGGACAAAAGGTTGAAGTTGCCCCGGCTCCCAGGGACTCCGTTTGTGCTCCGTAGCAGGGCCCTCTGAATGCCAGGCTAAATAAATAGTCAACCCCCCCCCAAAAAAAAAAAAAAGGTTGAAGTTGTCAAGGATTTTGTCTTGCTTGGATTCAGAATCAACACTCATGGAAGCAGCAGTCAAGAGATCAAGCAATTAAGTACATTGGGTAAACTTGCTCCACAAGTCTGCTGAAGAATATTGAAAAGCAAGGATATTACTTTCAGGACTGACGTGTGCCTGACCCAAGACTTGGTATTTTCCATATGCATGCGTAAGTTGAACATTGAATAAAGAAGACCGAAGAAAAATCAATGCATTTGAATTGTGGTACTGGAGAAGAATACTGAAGGTACCATGGACTGCTGAAAGGACAAACCAATCTGTCTTAGACGTATGTCCAGAGTGCTCCTTAAAGGCCAGGATGGCGAGACTTCCTGTCACATCTTTGGACATATTATCAGGAGAGACCAGTTCTTGGAGAAGGACATCATGCTTGGTAAAGTGGTGGAGCATCAATGAAGAAGGAAGGCCTTCAACAAGATGGATAGGCACAGTGGCTGCAACAATGGGCTCGGGCTCAGTGGTTGTGAGGATGGCGCGTGATGCATAGGGTAATGATGGGTGGGAACCTACTCAATGGCACCTAACAAGAATAGCACTTACGAAATGCCAGCTTTGGATCATGGAGTGGAGGTCATGTTAAAGGGCATTTCAATTGAAGTTTAAGAAGGTAACGGTAGATAAAGTGGGGTAACTGCCAGAGAAGTCAAAGTGGGACAGAAATCAAAGATAGGAGCTGAAGAAATGGCTGAAGAGGTTATAGACCTCTGGCATGGCAATTTCTTAATTTTTTTGGACTGTTTAGGAACTGTTTTGTAATGAGGTAAATGTACTGTTCTAATGCCTTTTCACACCATTTATTTATTCATTTATTTATCGTGATTATTTTTAATCATTTTATTGGGGGCTCATACAACTCTTACCTCAATCCATACATCCATCCATTGTGTCAAACACGTTTGTTGCCATCATCATTCTCAAAACATTTGCTTTCTACTTGAGCCCTTGGTATCAGCTACTCATTTTTCCCCATCCCTCCCCACCCTCATGAACACTTGATAATTTATAAATTATTATTATTTTGTCATATCTTACACTCTCTGCAGTCTCCCTTCACCCACTTTTCTGTTGTCTGTCCCCTAAGGCGGAGGTTATATGTAGATCCTTGCACCCATCTTTCTACCCATCTTCATTTCACCCTCCTGGTATTGCAGCTCTCACCACTCAGGACCCTGAGGGGCTCATCTGTGCTGGATTCCCTGTGTTTCCAGTTCCTATTTGTACCAGTGTACATCCTCTGGCCTAGCCGGTTTGGAAGGTAGAATTGGGATCAAGATAGTGTGGGGGAAGAAGCATTTAAGAACTAAAGAAAAGTTGTATGTTTCATCGTTGCTACTCTGCACCCTGACTGGCTCATACCTTCCCCATGACCCTTCTGTAAGGGGGTGTCCAATTACAGATGGGCTTTGGGTCCACACTCCACACTCCCCCTTATTCACATTGATATGATTTTTCAAGGCGTTTAAATATCACTTAAAGTGAGCTTCTGGCTGTGGCTCTTTTACATGGAAGATTTTCTCCTCCAGTTTACTGTGCAGAAATCTAATTTACCTCAGCCAAATGAACCACACAATGACACTGAGTCTCTAAACTATCCATAGTGTTGGCACCTGCCAACAATCAAGGAACAAAACTGTCAAAGGGCCTTAGATGTGGCATTCCTCCTCTTACTAAGTATTCCACAGATGCAAACAGTCTAAAAGAACACGGTTAGGCCACTGTGCCCCGCCCTGCCCCTCCCTCCCCCCAAAAAGTTTGGACTGTTTTCAAACACAAGTTCTGATGTTCTGTCACTAGATGGCAGTCTCAAATAACTCACTGAAATGTTCAGCTGGAATGTGGGAGCAAAGAGAGGTTAGCAAATCTCAAACAGCTGTGTACACAAGAAAACTGAGACTGTGAGGTTTGGAATTCAAGAGGGCTTACTGTGAGGAGCTCCCAAGAATTTGTGGACATCTAAGAGTACAAAAATGCTCATGGTGGGGGAGGGACCTCAATTTGAATGGCCAATAAACACATGAGGAAATGCCCACAATCACAGCCATCCAGGAGATGCAAATTAAAACAAAGATGAGCTATCACCTTAAAAATAAAAGTCTATCCGTTGCAGTTAAGGTTGGATAGGTTAATTGATGAATTTTTTAAAAAGCTGAATATCAAATGTATATAAAGCAAAAAAATGGGTTTCTCACTGCTAAGAATTTTAGTTAATAAGTTGAAGAGTTAATTTAAGTCTTTGTGAAATAAGATTTTTGGCTGAAGGTATGGGTTTAGCTGTTCATTAGAATAAGATTCCTGATAAACAAGCCAGAAGAGAGAACAACGAGATGACAGATCAGGGGAGCATGGGTGTAGGGGAGGGGGGGAGGAAGGAAGAGGGTGTTTAACAAGCACAGGGACAAGGGAACAACAAGTGATCTAAAATCAATGTCAAGGAGGGTGTGGGAGGCCTTGCAAGGCTGGATCAAGGGCAATGTAACCGAGAGGAATGCCTAAAACCCAAATGAAGGCAGAACATGATAGTGGGACAAGAGGAAAGTACAAAGAAACAGAGAAAGAACTAGGAGGCAAAGGTTATTCATAGAGATGTAAATACAGGCATATAA